CGCCACCCCAAACCTTTGCCAAGACATCACAACGACACCGGAACCAAATGCGGGCGGCTGTACAAACGGAGCAAGTGCTCTCTCTCTCTCTCTCTGGAAAATAAACCTGAAATCAAGTAGCATTGTGTGAAATCCAGCAACATGTCGTGAAGTGGCCGGAAGACTTTGATCAGCGCACTTTGGAACCACAAAAGCTTTCCAGAACCACTAATTCGTTTTACAAGGCTGCTCAGCACTGGGGACAATAATTAGTGAGACTGATGTGGTGTTGACGCGTGGGAAGAGGGTTGGGGGGGGTGGGGGGGGGGCATCAAGTGAAGAGCACTTGTCTTCGGTAATGAGAAGCGCATATTGTTGATAGCACAAGAAACCCCCCCCCCGCCGGAAGGCGCACACGCACCTTTCCTGGACGAGATGAGTCTGGCCAGCAGCTCGCTGAGGTTGGCTCGCGACTCGCCATCCTCCTGTGAAGCTCGGAGCTGGGGGACCGAGCGGCTGTGTCGGAGATGCGGCTGCCCCAAAGTGTGGGCGGCGGCTTCCAGGTGGCCTGCATGCACATAGGCGCGGGCGCGCGCACGCACACACACAAACACACACAAAAAGGCAAGATGTCACATTACCGCGGTTGCCATTGACAAGGAGGGGATGGCGTACCTTCTTCAGGGGAGGAACGCCGGTTCTCGTCCCCAAGATGGGAGGAGAAGGGGAACCCCAAAGAACCTGCGCACAGGACCACCAGAACCACGCACACACTCAGCCCTGCAGGCATCTGCAACACACACACACACACACACACACACACACACACACACACACACACACACACACACACAAACAGGGGAAGTACAGGAGACAATCTAAGCTTGATGAGCATGCATTGAGCGGTCTTCTCCATTTGAACACTCATTGCAGCAATACCTGAAATAAATGCAACCGTCCCATTACAAGGCTGGCATACAAGGAAAAAAGACGGAGGCCATCGATTTCAAGCATTACATCATGACAATCTATTCTGAGTATTATTACTTTCCTTCAAACAAATCGCAGACTCCGGTGGCACGAGACAAAGTTACAAAAATAAAATTGGCATAAAATATCTAAAGTGCATATAAATACTGTTCCTAAAGACATTTTTTTTTCCCCCCTACCTTGAGAAAAGAGGTTCGGTTCGTTGAAGGGAGTGTGTGAGCGTTCGGAGAGCGCTTGTCTGCTGAGTGGGAAGGATGCGCCTTTTATACTCTCTCACCGCTCTGCTCGTGTGTGTGTGTGTGTGTGTGTGTGTG